CTTTTGTAATATGTGTTTTTTTTAATGTTGTACGCCGCCCTGAGTCCTTGGGAGAAGGGCGGCATATAAATCTAATAAACCAACCAAACCTACAGTATCCTTCCCCTGCTATGCTGACCAGGCCATGTCCACCAAGCAATGCCATGCCCACCAAGCCACGCCCACCAAGCAATGCCACGCCCACCAAGCCACGCCCACCAAGCCATGCCCACCAAGCCATGCCCACCAAGCAATGCCATGCCCACCAAGCCACGCCCACAGAACCGGTAGTAAAAAAAAATTGAATCTTACCACCGCTCCTAATTATGATGCTACCACCCCACTCTCTAATGGAGACCATATGAATAATCTAATTGTGTAGAGTGGAGTGTGTACATGTGTTTGAAACATCGTTTTTCTCTCCAGAAAAATGTCGCCATGGCATCGTTTCCCCCCCCCCCCATCAGCTCCCAATGGAAATTAAATTCGAAGTCTTGTCTCTATCCTGCTCTTCATGCAGCATTTCTACGGTTGAGAGCCATGCGCAGAGTTTTCTATGATGTTTATTCAGAAATAATTCTCCCACTAAGATCCCTTCCAACCTTAATTAAAGGCTTCCTGCCTTTAGGTCGTGCCCTTCTGTTGCTTCCTGTTGAGCACAGCTGGGAAATGAGCAATGAACAACTAGTTGTAATTATTATTTTTTCCATGGCTCTCTTAACTGTCCCTTATTTCGGTTCCTGGTATGGTGGGAAAATCGTATTAAAGGGTCTTCCTATCTCCCCCACCCTTTTATGGGTTCCATATTTATGAAGTGAAACAATATCCTATAGAGGGGATATAGGAAGAATTTCGTAATTAAATCCCTACCTCTACAAATTGTCATTAAGCAGTAATTAGGAGAACCTCTTTGGGGGCAATTAATAGACTATTCACGAGTAATTCTAGTGATGATGTTCTTCAAGAACCAATAAACTGGGCTGCGTGTCCCGACAGGAAGCTTTTGATTAAACAACCATTGACATGAAATATCCAGTCATGCATTTCCAATAAGATACATGAATGAATGGCAATTTTTATAGGGAAGATTCAGACAGGAACCAGATGGCACCAATAACAATTATCTCGGGTTCAGAAAAAGTGGATTATTCACCCGTTAAGAGATTTCCCGTAATGTAATCTGCAGGATTGTGAATACAGGTAGTCCTCTATTTATGACCACAATTGAGTCCAAGAATTCTGCTGTTAAGTGAGTTTTGCTCCCTTTTACAACCTTTCTTGCCACAGTTGTTAAGTGAATCACTGCCATTGTCACCTTAGTAACACGGTTGTTAAGTGAATCAGTCTTCCCTGTTGATTTTACTGGTCAGGGATCATGTGACTTCAGGACACTGCAACCGTCATAAATACGAATCAGCTGCCGAGCGGGTGAATTTTGATCACATGACCATAGGGATGATATAACGTAAGTGTGAAAACCAGTTGTCAACAGTTTTCCAGTGCTGCTGTAACTTTGAATGGTGACGAAACGAGCAGTTGTAAGTCGAGGACTACTTATAAATATATTGTTATCCCTCAACAGTTTCAAGACACGTCAAGAAATTATTTATCTTCTCCGTGGTTGTGTTCAAGTAAAGATCTACTAGGTGCATCCATTGGACATTGATATTGTATAAGGTCTTCTGCCTTGATCAGGGGGTTGGACTAGAAGACCTCCAAGGTCCCTTCCGGGCCTATGATTCTAACATACTAAGCATGGATTGCAGTAACTATGGTTAATGGTTATTTTGGTCTCAATCCTGCTCATTTGAAAAAAAAATATGCAGCCATTTAATATGCAGATCTTAAAGATGGGTTAACTCATAATCAGGTTAAGAAGGTGCCGAGAATGCATGAATTAAGAATCAAAGAACTAGCATTCCAAAAAGTGAACCTAAATAAGTGGTTTCTGCCAAAAATATACTTGAAATTAAAACCTACCTATTTACCCCTAAATATACATCGTTAGGCAATCAAACCGGTCAGTCCTAGAGGAGATCAACCCTGACTGCTCTGTAGAAGGCCAGATTCTGAAGAGGAAACTCAAGTACTTTGGCCACCTAATGAGAAGGAAGGACTCTCTGGAGAAGAGCCAGGAATGCTGGGAATGATTGAGGGCAAAAGAAGAAGGGGACGACAGAGAATGAGGTGGCTGGATGGAGTGACCGAAGCAGTTGGCGTGAGCTTCAATGGACTCCAGAGGATGGTAGAGGACAGGAACTCCTGGAGGAACATTGTGCATGGGGCCGTGATGGGTTGGACACGACTTCACAACTAACAACAACAAGTTCAACAAAAAGCTGCTTTGTCACCACCAACATTGCCAGATAGCATCAGGGAGGCGATATTGGAATTAGAGGCAAGTCAGTTGAAACTTAATTCTGTCTTATTTTTCATTAGGAGTAAATTACACAGTGTAGTTTGGGAGTTTCCCTTTGATCAAGCTATTAGTGGCCAGAAGTGCTGCTTGTCAACTTCAATTGGGCAACAACAACAACAACAATACATTGGTAACCTCAAAGGAAAATTGCTGCAATGGTATGCAAACTAAAAAGATTGCAGGTTTCTCTTACTTTGTGAGCAATCTTTGCCGATCCATCCTGGGAAACACTGGCAAGAGCCATCCATAGGAGTGCAGGTCCCATTGTTTGTACACAAGCACAACTCAGCACAGTCTTTCCCGTATCTTCCACTTGGACACACTGTGGAGACAAAAGCAGGCTATTAGGGTTGCGTTGTGTTGAATCTCCTCTTGAAGCTCACCAGGCTTGCATAGTGTTGAAGAACGTGGCTCTCCGAGGAGTTGGGCGTTGACTTTGGGTTGACCTTCTACCAGTTCCTGCCTTTGTACAATGAGTAAAGGGAAAGAAACCGACATTTAATCCAGACAAGATTTTCATTTGGACGTTCTGTATGAAAAACCTTGTGTTAAACGGAGTTGTCCTGCCCACCAGGAACCAAATTCATAGACTGTTAGAAAGTCAGGAACTCAACTCGCTCTGCAGAAGTGCAGATGCACAGTCCACCAGCTCTCACCATCTTAGACTGCTGTGCCAGCTGTGATCCTGTCTAAAATCAGATTTACCTTTTTTAAAACTTCGTGATCTCCGCTTCCACTGTTGCAATGCCGTCTAAGTACAGCTGCCCCTGGAAGGTGTTCAAGAAAGGGCTGGCCAGATGTTGGCAGGATAAAAACCACTGGAACACATGTTACTAATTCTGTCTCAGTTTTATTAGCTAGGTTATGTCTAGCCTATCAAAGAGGAAGGGGAGACATAATTGTCTTCCAGCACTTAGGCCAGGGGTGTCAGAATCGATCTCATTGAGGGCTGGATCAGGGTTGTGTTTGATCGTCAGGCAGCATGTGCACTAGAACCCGGAGGTTCGGCTTTTCTGGAGCGTGGCCCCAATGAGCGCATGTACGACGTTTCTGTGCAACCTTTTTGGCACTTGGTGACGAAAAGGTTCACCATCACTGGACTAGAAGAACTTCAAGTCCCTTCCAGCCCTATGATTCCATCCTTTATGCCTGTGATGGCAAACCTATGACACATGTGCCAGACATGGCATGCAGAGTCTTCACTGTAGGCACGCATGCTTTTGCCAGCCGGTTCTCGCGGTCACCAGAGCACTGAAAAATGGTAGGAAATGGCCAGAAAAATGATCCAAAAAACAGGCATGCATGTGCCAGCCAGCCAGCTGGTCTTTGGGTTTCTTTGGTGCTCCGGCACGCGCACATACGCACATGTTCCAGTTTGGGCACTCGGTGCCAAGAGGTTTTGCCATCACTGCTCTATGCTTTCTACCTTGGAGTCATAAACGTTAGCTTGGATTAGAAAGAGACTCCCAGATGTTACAGAATTTATTATTTGAATACGCGCTCATGTATACCAATGTGTCAAGACTCAGCAGGTCATTTTCATGGACTGTTCTAGAAGATTGATTTGTCTGTGCAAAAAGGACCCAGAGCCTTTTTCAGTGATAGTCTCAACATTGTGCACTCCATACTAATGAGTTATGTATGGCTTCAACTTTGCCTGTGTTTAAACTAATATTACTTATTTCATGATGCTTTTCCTTGTACTCGCTCTTTTCATCTCTGCAATGTTAACATTAAAGAGTAATTTAATGGCTTAGTGCTTTTATTTATTATCTCTGCTCTTTTATCTCTCTGTTTCTAACTATAATTTACAACGTCCCATGATTGGTCAAAGTGCAGCTTTGAGATATATCAGACATTTCAGCAAAGCAACTATTCTGTCCGGATGCAAAACCGCTTCATCAAAATACAGCAAATATTATGCAAAACCCAACTGTCTTGGGAAATGAGTTCCGTATCATGGTAGACTTTCTAATAAATCTTCATTCTCCAAGATCCCATAAAGCTGAAGTGGAAGCCTTCAAAAAAGTTCATACTTCTCACAAACCATTAAACTCCCACCAAACTTGTGAATCTCAAGCACGTCTGTAATTGATGGATCTAAGAATTTCGAGAGAAGGACAAAAATATTCTGTTTAAGTCGGAATGGGCAGATACAACCGCAATGCTAATTTGTTATTAAAGTTCTGAAAAAGGACTGCATTCCCGTGCTATTAAAATTTCAGATGCGTTCTTGCAACTATCATGATTTATGGCTCAGATTCCTTACATGGCTATTAAAAATACTTGGAAATATATTATTCCTAGCTAAAGTGGCCCCTTTTGCTACCTGCCGCAGATCAGACATGCATAATCTGAGGGCCACCGTTAGCTCCTGAAAGCTTTAGATGTGGCTTCCAGAGCTCCAAAATTTACTACCAGGATGTAATTTTTAGCATGACAAAAGATGGAAAATGTTACATTTTCTGGAGAGTCACCCTAGTTGTCAGCCTCTACTTTGCATGCTGGCTATCAGCTGCCATAGTAATGGGGAAGGTGGGGGCCTATGGTTTTTGGGGGGGGGGGGGAAACTAGGCACTGGAGGAGATATCATGAAGGGAGGTTTGTTCTCACCATCTTCTGCACATGCTGAAGGCTCGTGTTTGGGTTTGGTCAAGGCCAACCATCTCTGCATACCAACTGAACG